ACAGAACTGAGCTCCCATTACAGGTAAGATCATCAGGATACTTCATTAATCCTGAGGAAATGATGTGGGTTTCAGTTGCTCCAAGACAGTAACAGTAACAGACTGTGGTGGGCGTGGTCTGCAGTGCCGCTGCAGAGGAGGTGGACGCACCTGAGCGGCATCTGCAATCACGCAGTCTGTGCTCGCACCACTGTCGCTGCGTGTGGCTGCGAGCTGCAAAGCTGCAGCGGGGTACTGTGCAGTCATTGGGTCTGCTGCGGTATGTTTACACACTAAACTATTGAAATAATGCGATATGTTTACAAATTTAAGAAACAGCACTAATTTTACACTAAGATTACTCATGTGCCACCAGTTTGTTTATCATATTACGTGATCATTAGTACCTGGTATGGAACCATTGAAGTGTTTCCCTAACTGGTCGCCCAGAGTGTGGAGCCAGCCGATCGAACCGTTCCGCTCCACGCTGCCGATTGCATACCTGGTAAAAAATAAACAGCGTTACAAAAATGTTACGATATAGCATTATAAAAATTCACTTTACTTTTGTGTCAGTTTCATACAGCAGAGATGAAAAATGAGAGTGCTGTGGTTGGAGTACAACTGATAAATATTCATCTTCTAATGTGAAAAACTTGTGATCTAAATTGCAGTAAATTGCAGTAAATCGCAGTAAATTGCAGTGCACGTTCGCTCAGTGGTTGCTGCTAATCTGACACTTGCTCTGCTGCCAGTGATCATTTTGGAAGACGCTGACATTGTGCTGGTTGATGCAGCTGTTCATTAGGAGCCAGGTGCACCTGATTAAAGGATCATCAGAACGTGCAGCAGCCTTTATAACTGCGGCCGTTTCGGAGCACTCACATGTGTGTTAACACGAGCTGCATCTCAGACTCCACAGGCCTCACAGTTAAGGTGAGCTGTGCACAGTGTGGATCCAAACAGAGTGGGCAATAGATGTGAAGTTGAGCAATTATCACAGAACTGGGGAAAGTAACTCGCAGTTCAGAAACAGACAAAAGCCACGAGGGCTCACTGTGGAAACAGCACAGGCACATGGCACAGAGTCCCGTCAAAGCTTTCTGTCTCACACGACTGTAGTTTAAGTTATTCAAAACAAAAGCTAATTATCCAAAAGTCAGCTCTGCAACTCGCACTGGAGCCAGTTCGCTGCTGAAAGTGAGAAGGTACTTTCTTAGCAAACACTGTCTTGCTTCCTGAGAACGTGTGGACTGAAAGCTCTGCAGTGAAGATCCACAACAGAAATCTGCTCAGGAACGTACCACGTGGGCACAGAACCGCTCTAAATATCATCTTGGAGCAAGTTTCATTTCATTTACTGTGACAGCAAACATCATATTCCACGCCAAACTGAAGAAATGCACCCAAAGTGTGTGCAGTTGGTTCGTCTGGAGGAGGCAGCGTGATGGTGCAGCAGCATCTTATACAGCTACGCAGCTCGTCAGCCTTCCTGCCATCACCTTTCAATCAACCAGCATTTTTTTATGCGAGACGAGCTCTGACAGATCATTGAGGACACAGCTATGACTAAAACAAAAACCCACTGCAGCTACCGAACTGTGGAGCAGATGGGGGAGAAGCAGAAGATCAAAGCAGGGCAATGTGAGGAATCAGCAGCATCCTGCAGACGCAGGTGTGTTAGAGCCAGAGGCTTTTAAAAGCTGTCACCATCAGTAATCTAAACAGCTACTCAGCTGCACTTTCACAATAGAAATATTTTGTTGTAAGACTTCAAGGCCTTTTATATCAGTCGTAGAATACCAGCTCCATACTCACAGCCCATCGCTCCTGCAGATTTTGCATGAATTTTGCGTCAGGGTCATCAACAGGAGGAGAAAAGCATCTCTGCTGTATGGATTCTGCACTCACACACAGTTTGAATCTAATGTGAATCGTCAGTTTATGGCGTCGTACCAGATGCAGGCCAGCCAGTGAGCGATGAGGGCGAAGGTGCACATGAGAAGAAAGAGCACAGCCGCACCGTACTCTGAGTAGCGATCCAGTTTCCGGGCGACACGAACCAACCGTAGCAGACGAGCTGTCTTCAGCAGACCAATCAGAGTGGTGGTCTGATGGGCGTGAGATAGAGGGAAGTGGAGATAAGGCATTGTTAAACATGGCAGAAAGCAAATATCTCCTCACAGCACTCCCACCTGCTGTCACACACACACACACACACACACACAGGTGATGTAACTGGTCTTTTCCTGATGTGAGTCAGTGTTGAGGAGGAGGTAAAATCCTGACTCCATTCATTTCCGTGGGCCTCTCTTCTCTCTGCTCCAGCTGGCTCCTTCGTGTCCACACAACAAATAAATAACAGGACGATTACTGCGCTGGCTGAGTGCCTGGTGCTGTGTGTGTGTGTGTGTGTGTGTGTGTGTGCTAACAGTAAATAACAGTGTTGAGGAAAGTCTCCACTTTCTTGGCTCAGTGGCTTCTTCTGGGCAGCATCAGTGGAGCGAGCCCATGTGAAGCTTCCCCCATGAACGTTGGGAAGTCCCGCCTTCATTCAGGCTGCTTTAATTGTTATTCATTAGTTCTGTTATTTAAAATGCTGCTCAATATTTATAGTTAGTTTTTGTGTGTTCGACCACCTTAAGCCTGAGTGTTTTATATCCTCGGTGTGTGGGAAGTATCCTCAGGGAAACTTCGGCAGGCTACAGCACCACTCACTTGCTGCTTCCTTTAACTCCCACTTCTTTCTGCAGACACCCACCTCCCACTTCCTTGAGTATCAAACCAACACCACCATCACTTCAATCATCCACTAAACCACAGAACGTAATTACCCACTGAGCCAGACGGAAACACACTGCTCTGCATGTTTCTGTAGAGCTGCAAACCTTTAGTTACTGACAGTGACACATCGTTCACTTTGTGCATGAGAAGCGCTCACTCCAACCAATCACAGCAGATGGCCCCGCCCCTCCCTGAGCCTGGTTCTGCTGGAGGTTTCTTCCTGTTAAAAGGGAGTTTTTCCTTCCCACTGTCGCCAAAGTGCTGCTCATAGGGGGTCATATGATTGTTGGGTTTTTCTCTGTATCTATGAAGCGCCTTGAGGCGACTTCTGTTGTGATTTGGCGCTATATAAATAAAATTGAATTGAATTGAATTGCAGCATTAGTGTAAAGTTTTCTGTTTCTGCCAACGAGCGAGTGACACCTGGATTTTTACCAGAGGCTCTGAGATACAGCGACAGACAGAATCAGGAAGAATCAGCATTAAACGATGATGTCACAGCGAATCAAGCATCTGGAACGTTTAGTGCAAACTAGAGATCAGTCAGTCGTGGGGATAACTTTTCTCAGCTTTGCTCTTACAGTGAAAGTTCGACTTTTTTGATCAGCTGACCCCCGGGCCATGGACTGGTCCGTGACTCGTTTGGTACCGTCCGCGAGAATTGAGCCTCGGTGTGAAATTGATGGTTTTCAGGGTTTTTAATCTTTAGTTTTTTGTCGTTTTTATCGTTAACTCGGTTTCCCTGGGTCTTATGAATAAATCTTCTCTTTTTGGTACCAGTACTGGTTTTATTTTGTTGTATTTATCCGCGACACCTTAAAGGCCGGGCCGTGAAAATATTGCCGGACATAAACGGGTCCTGGAGCAAAACAGGCTGGGGATGCTGCTCTACAGGAGACTTTGGTGTAAAAGCAGGAACACATTTACTGCTGGTGGTACAAAGAAAGAAAGGAATCACTGCTTTACTAATAACAAGAAAACATCCTCATCCGAAATCTGAGGAGGACGTCCATGCTGTAACTTCAAACAGTGAATTTTCTTTCCAGCAAACTTCCAGCATCAATATTGAAGAAACAATAACGTTAAACACAAGAGAGCGTCATGTGTTTGCATTCCTGCTTCATACGTGACCTAAAAACATGTTTTTAATACAGCACAATGCAACCCAAAGAGATGTAGGCCACTCGTGGGCACTTGTAACTGCAGCGTACCAGTGACAGTCTCTGATTCACAGACTCAGACTGCAGCCATACCTGAGTAAAAGTAGAATAGAAGCCTCCTTGTGGTTTCTTTTTGTTCACATTTGGAGATTTAGGTCAAGTAGCTACGGCACCAACGCTGACGGTCGGACTCAGACTGACTGCTTCATGTGTGTTTTGTCTGCGTGATCCGTGACCTATTCCCTCCCCCCACCCTGGAACAGTAATGTGTGTGTTGGATCCTCCAGCTTTACCTCTGCACAAACACAACGCGCTCTTTGGTAACTGAGCGCCGGTTGTCCTAGCGGGTAGTTATTAGGGCTGGGCTATATCATACCGTTCACGGTAATACCGGTGTAATGTTGGGCAACGATAGGAAAATGAAATATCGCGATAGAATATGGGTAAAA